TAAAAGATGTCAATGTCACCTTTGCTTTTCATATCATAGTCTACTAGATAGAATACTGGCAAAGCTGTATAAGACATGGGAAACATAGAAAGTACCTCCTTACTCAAGACACAACTGGTAACCCTAACCCTAACCTGTCAGCCTAACCACCACCACACCACCCCATCATAATCCCATCCCACCCCTCGCACCCCCCTTGGCCCCCCGTGCTAGCATGATCATCAACTATCATACATAGGACAATTATTCACAATTGTCGAGGATTGTAAGTTCAATGACTTTTCATTATCGACTCTGACGTCGTGGCTTGGACTCAATGTGTTTGCTTCGAAGTCATTGAACGTTAAAAGCGTCATCAACTCCAGTTCAATTTGGAATTTTTACGCGTCCATTCCAGAATACAATGGAACTTAACTCGTCCATTCCAATTTTTCATTAACATTAATCCTCCGGCGTTGTGCGAATTTATAAAAGAACATCGGCCATGGATTCCCGTTAAAATCTGTCACAAGAGTTGAAGTTGAGAAATGGGAAAGGTCCTTTCCTGTTCAATCTGGAAATGTTGTGCGTCCATTCCAGAGGACATTAGAACTTTAGCTCGTCTATTCCAGTCAATATTACAACTTTAGAGCGTCCATTCCAATGTCCCATGGAAAGTTTAATCCTCCAGCGTTGTACGAATTCATAAAAGAACATCGGTCAAGATCGACCATGGATTCCCGTCACTTATAAAAATCTGTCACAGTCTATTCCGTTATCGTCAATTTTTTAATAGGCCGTTTGCATTATGACATAACTTCAACTACAACTACCAGAGAGCCTTGCGCATTTTCATTGTTATTCAGATTTTTAATCCCCTTGGTGATTGATAAAAACAATTGGCACAATTGCATTACAAAAGAAAGTTGGCAAAGCATTCTGGTAGGTAAATGACGCCATAATGCATATCGCCTATTGTTGCGCGTCCAATATCCAGAAGACAATGGAACTTTAGCTAGAACATCATTTCAGTCAGCATTCAACTTTATAAGTGCGTTTTGAAAGTTTGTTTTTTGGAATGTTTAAAAGTAGCTTTGTGGCATTGAAATGGAAAATATGAAACCGCTTATATTACGATGTATATTTTTATTTTCAAAAATAAACACTAACCTCCAATGGGATGCCAGTGGACCATGGCCTTCAGGCACCGCGGAACATAATCTTTATTAGGGGGAGGGGTAAATCGCATCGGGACAACTTTCGAGAAGCGACGACAGATGAACCTGTGAAGAATTGTCTGTAGGTGTGAAAGAAGGTTTCTATCATTGCACGCTCAACGGTCGTCTCGTTTCGATGCAAAGGCACGGCTATCTTTCAAGATGGCGCAGGCACAGGCAACCCAAGCAAAGCATTTGATTCAAAATTGTGGGTTTTTTTAATAAAATACATTTTTTGCCTCCAAAATCCCCTCAGCGGCATGTCTCTAGGATCTTTCTATCCAGAATTGGGCAATTTTTCAACGGACTTCAAATCCAACCGTGCCAAATCGTCATGTTTTTACGCTATTCTGACTTAATTTTTGAATCCGTTCAAGCATTCATCGACCTTGATGGACATCGTTTATCAAACTCCCTCTGATTGGACGACAGTTACCATGGAATCAGTTCAAGTACTCCCGAATACTACGGGGAGTGTAGGAATTTGATAGAGCGGATTTCGTATGAGTGGGAAACGGACGGTACTGTACTGTTACCGTGATCGTACTGTAACCAAATTCTAGTGCCCCATTGGTTCACCAAAATTCTGCAGGCCAGGTCCAGTAACTGTGCGGTAACCGTGCGGTAACGGTGTCCCACTCATACGAAATCCGCTCTAACGCTTGAAAGACTTTGCATTTGCATCGCCCCTGAAAATAAACCTGGCAGCGTAACTGGATTCGGTTGAAAACTTCGAAAAAGCGCGCGAANATCATCAACTATCATACATAGGACAATTATTCACAATTGTCGAGGATTGGAAGTTCAATGACTTTTCATTATCGATTCTGACGTCGTAGCTTGGACTCAATGTGTTTGCTTCGAAGTCATTGAACGATAAAAGCGTCCATTCGCAATCCGTTTTCATCCTTCGGTTTTGAGGTCGAAGACAATGTCTCCATATAGTATAAATGGATAACTAAAGATTGAGCTTTCGCTTATATTACAATGTATATTTTTATTTTCAAAAATAAACACTAACCTCCAATGGGATGCCAGTGGACCATGGCCTTCAGGCACCGCGGAACATAATCTTTATTGGGGGGAGGGGTAAATCGCATCGGTACAACTTTCGAGAAGCGACGACAGATGAACCTGTGAAGAAGTGTCTGTAGGTGTGAAAGAAGGTTTCTATCATTGCACGCTCAACGGTCGTCTCGCTTCGACGCAAAGGCACGGCTATCTTTCAAGATGGCGCAGGCACAGGCAACCCAAGCAAAGCATTTGATTCAACTGATTGTTATTGTTTATAAAATACATTTTTTGCAAAATGGCGGCCAATATTTTGGGTGGCTAAGCAACGCCGGCTCCGCAGTACCTGGCTTTCTAMGGTAATATTCAATGAAAAAACATTTACGTCTWAGACCATTTTGGAATAAATAGTTGTATTTCCCAGATCTTTTTTAAGTTACAAGTTCTTCTTATTTCTACTATATTTTCCCATTTAACACATTTGGATGTGAGACATCCTAGCAATAAAATAATATTAAAGGTATCGCTTTATTAGACCATTTAGACCATTTCGTATACCTTTGCATTCATTTWAAGTTTAATTACCACATTTATATTGAAGTGAAAGTTTTAGAGAATTCCATGAAAATAATTTCACCTATAGTCTTGAACACATAAAGCAGGCAGTAGCGATTGAAAGAGTTTGTTTCTCTTGCTGTGTGTCCCTTTGGGATACTGAATAAAACAAAAGAAACCAGCTCGTCCAATCGGAATTGCGTGTTCATGTAATCAGTCCCTTATTTTAAAGTGCAAATAAACTCATTTTCCAAAGTTGAGGAAAACCTCCATGGAAGAATAAAATGCTTTTTGGGGACATCTWGGAAATCTGTTAAAACTCGCTTTTTGTGAAACTTTAAATTTATGAAATTTTTGATAATTCCTAAATGGCCGTGAACTATCATGGGGGCCTCAGTCGAGCCTAGAGTGACGTCTACTAAACCAAAGTTCTTATATCGCTTGATATATCAACTAAGAATKGTTGGATGCTGTCTTACAGCTCAAAGGCACTTATATCTGGAATGAATACCTTCGAATCCCCACCATTCACTTTGMAAGGCACCAGAAATGTGAGATATTATTCMTTAGTATACGTCACACTCGCACCAGGCCCCTGATTTCAAARAGAGAGCATTTTCCCGAAMTRGCGGGAAATTTCAAATAACGTCAAAATTCGGGATTTCATCCAATTCAAAACYTTTTTKGCGGCAAGCTACTTTTTAAAATAGGATAGATCATCCTAGAATTTGAAAAAAATCGAGTTCATTTGCACTTTAAAAGTAGTTATTTCAAGAGGTTTAAAATGAATAGCCAACTTTCGATATTCTAGATGAATGCTCATACACAGACGATGTAGAAGACAAAATAATTATCCATTGCTTCCCCTCAACTCGTCTCCAATCTTCTCGTGCGTGGTTAGTCAAGTAGGATATCGAAAGTGTGCTGTTCACCACTATAAAATACAATTTTATCTATATATCATAACATATTATCCCTTATTGCTMGTAATTGAGAGCTTTCACTCAAATTCATCTTAGCAAAATATTATAATGAAGATACGAAAGAAAAATCATGCTGTTAACCCGTGAATTCAACACTAGTCCAAGGTGCATACATAGCCCATAGTGAGYTTGTCACSCGTACMGGTTTTGCTCAGTACAAATGATTTTCTATGATGCATATYCGTGGTAACCCTGAATTAAAATCCATCATGCTCTGCTATTTTACATTTCATCAAACACGCAAAGCATCATGGAACTTAAGTTCTTGTTATGTGACGAGATCCCTAACTACGATTGGTCATTCGCTGACCAGCTTTTTACTTATTAAAGGCAAGTCATTCGCGACTTCTTTGAATAAATATTTATATTTGTCMCATTTTTTCGAAATATTTTACACTGGAGTTTAAACAATTTCTTGGGAATAAATAATTAGAGTTTAGAAGGATGCAATATGCCATGAAAATAAGATTCGGAATTTCTTAAAATGAAAACTTTGGGAATGTGGAAAACAATTTATGATATATTTAATGTAAAGCCTGAGCCGAACAAAAATCAATAACTCCATTTGAAAGAGTTCTCAGCTTCGTCAAGCATTACAAAACTCTCTGAGAGATATCTCAAATAAGAAAATAATTCAATATACTTTTCGACAATTTTTATCCCACCCTCCTTCCCTCAAGGAACGTTTATCAATGTGCAAAGAATTGTGGGAAATTATTGGGTTACATTCTTGCAGTCAATGTCATGATGGTTTGTCCAACTAAAAATATCAAAACAGTGCGTTCGTTTTATTTCTATATTTCTAATACAAAGCAAACGATCGCAGAGTTTTCTGGATGCAAGTGGAGCTTTACTACAGTATGGGAATGATCATGACAAAAACAATAAATAACTACTTAGACTAACTCACCCTCCCCTCCCATGCCAAACAAAAAAATAAAATTGAAAAAAGATTATGTGACACTTCTTTGCTTCCGAGACGAAGATTATAGCAGTTGTGAGGACAAGGGTTTCTAAGAAGGTGCATTTTAAAAGTTATTACACAATATATGGGCGAATCTTATCCATTTATATCTATCTTTTCCCTAATTCACTCGGGAAACGCTTTCGGGTTTGACAAGTGTACCAAAATGGGCTTCATAGGATCGATCCTAAGAGTGCACGCTGTTTGAAGTACTAATATTTACCACCATTGTATTCATTAAGAATGGATTTTGACGGGATGGGGGTAGGGGAAGGGGGATAGGATGGGGGGAAGGGGGAGGGGGTAGACTCAAAGAAGTGCCACACAAGCTTTTTGAACGAAGGCTTGTCACTAGTGAAAGAAGTAGAGACGGGAAAAAATTGAAAAGGAAGGCGCTAATCAGCAGGGAGGGCTGCTGCCGTTTTTCGAGTCTCCAAATTTKTCACTAGTGAATATTAAGCCCTAAAAAACCATTTTATCTATACTCATATCGATAGTTGTCACCAGTCTCTCGGTAGTAATCATCACTACCGTACCGAGGCTCCTCRCGGTCTTGGTAATAATAGTCATTCCTGGCATACCCCCGGTCCTCGTGATCTGCCATGTTGGGATTGATGTGCTCAAGTTGTTGTAGCGTTTTCTCGACGTCTTCTATTGGCGTCATTAAAGTGTTAGCCCCCATCCAATTCACGGCAGTGTCCTTATTCCGCTCCATCCAATCAATGTTCGCCTGTATGCTTTCGAGACTTTGCTTTGAWGCACGTTTGCCTGAGCCCAGTGGGTGAGTGTYGAAGAAACTTTTGACCTGCACAAACGAATATTTAAAGTTTGATAAGATAATTTTTGAGACAGGTTTTGTAATTTGGTGGCGGTTTCAGCTGRTGTGCAGGGGGGGTCGCGCATACACTTCTGGGACTTTCTACCCTTAGATGTTTTTCCCCTAAATTGTACTTTCTTTGTGACAATTTTGTGCACCTCCCTCCCACCGCAGACAATTCTGAGTTCAATGMTGGCTTATTTGTTTTATTAGTTGAGAATCATTGGTTTGATTAGCTACTAAGTTATTGTCCGTTATAAGGTAGTTTGCATTGTTAGTGAATGTATGAATATGAGGATCACATGGTACTATGRTAAACATGATATAGAAATAATGGAAAGGAATAGTGCTTAATTAAGAGGAGATTATTTCGGAAAAAAGATCCTTGGAAATAAATTCGGAAAAATTAATTTCCGACCTCTCTGCGATTCGAACCAGATGGATGGATGGATGGATTGATGGTTGGATGGATGGATGGATGGCTTTGTTGCATAATGTTTTGTTAAGGGGTGGGTGGATTGGCTTGTTGGTTAGCTATTTCTTTAAGGAGAGACAACAAGCCTGAATTAAGAAAGTGCTGCCAAGGAGACTACTTGTTGTGTCTATTGTCAATATGTCTGAGTATCTAGAATCTAAAATCTGCGGTCAAAATCTGAAGGGAGTGTGCTCTAATCTAAACCCATTCTGAGGCAACTTAAAACAAATCATCTGTTGTTTCATAGCCGCAGTGTACACTGACCTCATTTAACATTATCTGAGTGTTGAAGTGTGAAGTTGTGCGGAGGACCAGACGGCTGAAGTCGAAGGATCCAGCTGCATACCTAAAATCAAAACTCATTGCTTATTTTGAACCATTTGACAAGAACTGCAGAAAAAAATACATCCTAACAAGAATGAACGGAGCTAATGGGATGTTTATATGTAAATAGCTTTGCAGTGTGTTTTTTCAATCCCATGGTGCATTTCGCGAAACATTCTATGGCGTGTTCATATGCCATTTTCCCGTTCAAAGCCAGCGACCGCTGTCTAGAAGACAACAGATTCACTTGCGCAGACCTTACCAAAAACAAAAGGAAGAACGAATAATGTTGATAATGTTGATATTACAATAGCTCTAGAAATTCTAATCCCCTCCGATTTGAGGCAAAGCCTATATTTCCACAAGACCCAAGGTTTAAGCCTTCGAGGAATACAGCAATTTGTAGGGCTATTGTAATGACAACATTTTTCGGGCTTTCTTTTGTCTTTGGAAAGGTCTCTGACCATGAGATACAGTTGCCAGCTAAAGCAGCGGTTGTTCGCTCTGAAAGGAAAAAGACGTACGGATGGTGCTTTGCAGTGACAAATCCATAGATGAATCTAACCTTTTATATAAAAGACCCCAGTGCTGCTTTGTGAAATTCCAGGCAAGGAAGCGACCTTTACAGTTGCCAGCAACCGCGTTAATTACAGCCACAGAATCCTGGGATCGAACGACTGCAGAATCTAAGCTCTTGTCTAATAAGCTATAAGAGAAAGGGGTTTAAGATATTATTGGAAATCCAAAACCAATGATAGGTATAAAGGCTATACTAAAACTACTATTGTTTTCCATGATATGGAATACAGTAAAAACCCGCGTATAAGAGCAAGTGGATTAAGAACACCCAGGCCTGATTTTAGGAAATAAAGTACCATTTATATAAGAACACATTCAGCCTGAAAAATGAAAGTTGTTCTTATATGGAAAAATATCAAAGATCAACACTACTTTTCTTTGCACACATAATAGTCCACCCCAATTATATGTAGCAAAATATTAAAAATAATCATGGTATTAATTGATTAAAATTGTGTGCATATATATTGATTTTATCAATTGGTAGCCTAGTATGTTCCTTATTTTAAGAAACTTTTGTTAAGAACACTTAAGAACACATACAGGCTGATTTTGCATACGCGGGTTTTTACTCTATTCGATTTGTGAGATATTTTCTCAATCATATTCTTCGTTTTCAGGCTACGTCACATCGGCCATATTGAAGGAACTTTAAAAAAACTTTACAGTGCAATTCTTCAACAATATTTTTAACAACAGTTCAAGCTTTCCCCGTGTGCTCAAAAATGTACTTCATGGATTACGTACTCTTGGAGCACCGTCAAATCTTCAGAGCTGGACAAAGCATACATCAGCTTTCTCTTTTCAGAAGCAACAGTCGCAGTTTTGTATTGTTTAAAGACAAAATCATAGTTTTCCTTGCCGCCATGTTGCACTCCAATCGAGTAAATGATGGCACGTAAATTAGGTGCGATTCTGTGGATTTGTAAATCAAAGAACATGTAATGACACTGATAACAATGATATTGAGAACAAATATATAGAGGATACGAGTAGAAAGTTGTTTTTAACACAAGAAAATAAAATCTTCAAGCCAACGTGTAATGTTCTTTTTATATGAAACAAACTAAAGCGACAAGTAGAAATGAGCGGGAAAGTTGTTTGTATTTGACGCGCGCGTACATCCGGGACATACTTTTTCATATCTTCACTAGCGAAATACTTATATAAATTGAAAATACGAGTGTTTTAGTTCCCTACCTTTTGCCRGAATTTTTCCATTCATTAAAGATTCTCATAGCCTCGTTCTTAGCGTTTTCATGACCRTACTCTACAGCAGACTTCAATGCAGATGCCCTCAGATACCTTAGTAAGAATGAAACAGCCAGCTTTAAAAATACACAAACAACGCATAACTTTGCAATAGCAACCAATTTGAAAGAGCAGAATATCACTATTTATAATTTCAAATTTTCCTCCGCTCTCACTTGTCGTAAGTCGATCACGTGACGTGATAGTGCCCCCCGCGCGGATGCCTACTATCAGGTGCAGAGTGCGTGCCGCTTCAGAAAATTTTGTTGTTGAATAATAAAAACAATAGAGCAGTTGTATCCTCGGGCATTTTGCTAGTTGAAGTTGGTCACTAGATAACCTCTCAATAGATGTAATCCAATAAGCTTGTTCAAAACAAAAGAGGAAAACAAAAGAAATAAAGTGTCATTGTTCTTTTAACAAAGACACAACAGCCAATCAGAAAAAGGTGAAGACCTACCTACTGAATGTTCATCAAAACTTCATAATAACACCTAGTTTCCGCAGGCAACTATCACAGTATTATGCCTAGCCTGCGTAGCGGCCCTAAGGGGATTGGGGAGGGCCGGCCAAGCGGGGAGTGGGGAGGAAAACGCAGGCTATATTATGCCCTCGATTCAATTACTCTATTGTTTGAAAAGAAACAAAGAGCTGTAGCAACTCAGTCAGAGTTAATATAACTCTGAACTCAGTAAAATAATCAACTCACTTTTGTAAATGAGTACCCTCATCTTGCCATCCTAATTCCTCAACAATAGGGCTYAACTGTTGTAGTAAATATTTCTAGAAAAAAAAACAAGGACTGTTCACTTCGAAAATTATAAACGTTAAAATCATATGAAGAAAATTAACAAAATCTGTTTATTATGATAAACTGAAATTTTCCAACGCGAAAAAGTGACATCTTTCACAATGTRAAAATAACATATCATCAGTGTTATAGATTCTCCATACAAACTGTCCTATTTCTTGCATTATAGATATAATTTTATTTGAGTTTATATAATAACAGAAAATTACATGTAAACTTSGAGATATCTTCACTTTGCTCACTTAAGATATCAATGAAACACGCAAAAAGATAAACCATATCTCTGTGCACCCATCCTCCACTTTTCCAATGAAAAGGCCATAAAGACAATGATGATGGTGACTGCGATGATGATGATGATCATCATCATCATCATTTTGTACCATAGTTTTACATTACAAAAAGGACTATACTAGCATAATATATTTCTAAGCAAGTTCATTTTCAAAACTATTYGTTAAATTTCAATTCATATCAAATTAATAAATATAATAACTAAATTTATGATCATTATACCTTCATTGTGTTAAATGGTGCGTCATCAGTGCACAGCATGGAGTGAATGTACCCTAAATTATTCAATGCTGATGTCCATGGCACGTATTCCTTCTCTTTAGTCAAGTACAGTGTCAATTCAAGGGCTGTTTGAAGTTTTAGCTGACCAGCTCTGTTGAAGAAAATACACAACTAATAAYAAACCTGTTTAACTTTGCGGTTTGTTTTCCTGTACAAAACATGTACTTTCGGGAGCTAAAGTCATTCATGTTTAGACAAAAATGAGCAATTGAGTACTCAAGTGTGACGTTACAAAAATACTTTTTTCAAATTTTTCGGATTCGCTGAAATATCCTCAAAGCGCATGGAAAAAGTAGCTATCTACCAAATTTCAGCGTCCTAGTGCCATTTATAGCGATTTTTATACAAGCGATTTTATTTATTTACTTTTTTTCCGAAAGGAACGCGACCAAATTTCCAAGCGTTGGTATGTGGTCACCCTACCATAAAATCGCCTGTATCTCCGCTATAAATGGCAAAAAGACACTCATATTTAGCAAGGATGCATTACAAATGATGCACTTTCAGAATATGGAGGACAAATTTAAAAACTCAAACATTTTCGTTTTGTGACGTCATCACTTGAGTACTCTATGATGGGAGAATCCAAGCCTAAAGTCGCATTCATACAATGGTCAAATGTCGTGAAATGATTATTTTTTTATAGAAAAATGATGAAATGAAATAAAGTAAAACACAAACCTTGCCAAGCTAAAAGCATCGTCAATCAATCCTGACCTATCTGCATCACTCAAGGCCTACAAAACCAACAATGTTATAAAAGTYAGCATTTCTTAGGCGTTTAATATTATCCAAATCCAAACAAAATCAACTACTACATTGTAATTCTGAGTTGAGAAAATCTACAAACTAAGTTAACTCTGCATTAATGCCATTCAGGATTTGAGCAACCTCACCCACCCAGTACTGTTGGTCTTATTCTCCTAGCAACTGTCTTTTGTGACAGGCTCCAGTACAGAAAGAATGGGTGGGGGAGACTATGTGGTCTCAGACCGTAGGCTGCCTTAGAAATGGGGAGTTCGTTATTTCATAATGATAATAATAATAAATAAAATGTTTAACTAAATTAGTTCARTACACATGTATGGTGTCTAAGAACTGGCCGCTAGAATTAGCAGTCAATAACAAAATAACCTCAAAAACAGTTCATAACACAAGAATTTTCAAACTGAGCAATAAAAAAAACAGAAACACTGGGCCTTTTAATCTTATAACCGTCCACCCCCCCCCCCCCCCCCCCCCCCTCCCTTCCCCCTACAGGCCTGGGTCTATAATGTATTTGACCTTTTCAAAATCCCCTCTTCTTTCATCCAGTGATCAATCACACAGATATACACACAAATAGGAATACTGATTTAAATCTTGTCAGTCTGATGATCGCGATGAACRCGTGAAACTCGGAGTAACCAAGTCCCATTCACTTAACATAGATATACATGTATTTTAATTCATTTATAATATATATCTAAGTATGATTTTATCAAACCCATACCGTATGATCTGCCTTCAGCTGCTGTGTTAAAGCTTCCCAATTTTCCTTGTCATAATTTACACGGTAAAATCCTTTCTGGCCATAGTTAGCTTTAAACCAGCCACTTTGCGCTGGCAAGTTAATTACAACTGGAAGAAGAAATTATATACAGTATTATAACAATAAATATGTATTAGTAACTACATAACAAAACAATGTATCACTGAGCTGTCCTTTTAATGTTTCATTTGGTTGTTTGTGCTTGCTTGTGAGAACTTTTGCTTGCCTATAATTATGTCTGCATTACACAATACGCAGAAGAGAAAATTTCATACGAGAGTGAAAAAGCTGAGGGTTAGGATTTTCTGAGGTGACAATGCTGTCCAGGCGATGGGCGTGTGTGCACAAGGAACGACTGACGGATTCAAAGTTGGTACAATCTCATCATTCAGCGCATGCAATATTATTGTGGTCTATACAAGAAAAATTGTCCACTGTGCGAATGGCAAAATTAATAATCATTTAACTTGATATATATGCTGGTTTGTAACTAAAGGTATATTCCCACTTTTACTCACATTCTATTTCGAATGTATACAAAACAACAATTGTATTTAGTTATATTAATAGTTTATTATAGTCTTACCATCTTTTCCATCTTTGCCCATCCAAACATAGAGCTCTTGCTTGTCTACCTGTGTGCTATATGTCAGAGGGATTTCCCATTTATAGCTGAATAGAGTAAAAAAGAAATGAAATTAATAAATGGGAACAAATGATGCAATTAAAGTTTAGCTACAATAACTGAATAAATCAATACAGGTATAAATATAATATAAAATCATAAAATATATAATCACTTTTTAATAATTACCACTTATTTACTGGAACCGAGGGAAACAGTATGTTTTGTGGTCCCGAGACCACTGATGTTTCCCGAAGCGAAGCTGAGGGAAACATCAGCGGTCGATGGACCGCAAAACATACTGATTCCCGAGGTTTCCAGTAAGTAAGTGCTTTATTATCATATCAAGTGTCAAAGAGAGCAAAAAACGTAAATAAATGTGTTTTTATTAAAGATTTTGATAAAATGACTGAAAAATGGCAATACAAATAGTCAAATGTCACTAAAATCAATCAATGTAATAACACAATGAATAAAATAACTATTTGTAGACGAAATTAAATGTTTCAAAACAATTTTGGAATTCACCGTCCGTAAATGTGGCATTTTCACGACAATGAAGAGTGTTTTTCTGCGATTTTGTACTTATTGACGGTCCACAACATATTATTGACCGCTGGTGGACAGTTGCCGGGAAACAGTAAAATTTTGTGACTTTCACGTGGTACACTCTCRACCAATAAGATACTAGGAAAAGTGAACTTTGACACTTGATATATAATAATGTCATATATTTTTTTATTCTATTGTATCCTGGCATGGAGATGCTCTTTTTAAAAACAAGCTAAATGGAACAACTGAAAATGTATGGTAGAGGGCACGCTAAATATGGAAACCTTTATCACCTACCCATAAGGAGATACCAAAGCAGGCTTTTCACGAGGATGAATCAGGAAATGTTGTTGTGCTGCAGTTAATTGGTTGTTATCTCTGGTGATATTGACCACAGGATAACCCATTTGCAGGGTCCATGTGTCCATAATGGTWGAAATGTCCCTGGCGTTGGWGTCAGAAACTTGCCAAGCCTAATATAACATATCAATATTGTTGWAATAGTTTTGCTTTACATTCACTTGTTTCAATGATAGGTTGAACTTGCAATACTTGGTGTCAATATGGCTACAATTAAACTAAATGAGTTTTAATTCCAAGGAACTATCTTTTTCATCTTTCTCAGTAAGCATAAGAGAAGACAATTACCACATGACCAAATCAAAGAAATGTCAAGATGGAATCCAGATTTCAAACTAGGCTCYGCWCCATGTTGTTCAAAGCTCGATTAGCGCTACATRTAATCCTTGGTTAAATCTTAAAAAACGTAMTRTRGACTTAAACCTGGATTAACTATTGTGSCAACTATTGGACAGTGATATTGGATTACCTTAGATAGTTTACCCCACAAGTCCTTTGTCTCTGCATTGCCAAATTTGTATGTTTCTAAATAGTTTTGTAGTCCATGTCGGAAGGCTTCTTTACCAATGATACTCCTCAACATTCTAATAATGGAAGCACCCTGAAATGGTAACAAGAGACCTATGATATGATATGATATGCTATTTTCAAGTTGTAAAATCATTTTGATATTAAAAACGCATTGAGACCAAGGTTGAGTATAACCAATGGCAAGAGTGTAGACTTTATAGATGATGGGTCCAAAAAATACCCTAAGGCTCAACTACGTGACTGTCTATATATTTTAAAAGTATACCCTAATATTTAAGATAAAAAGTATTTTTTCCTGAGATTCAAAAGACAAAAATTCACCAGGGAATTCTGTGCCAACAAAATTTCCCCCCCTTTTGAAAAATATCCGCGGCGGAGTCTTTGTTGGATACTTGAAATTAATAATAGAAAGTTTTAGCACTTTATATATACTGTACCAACAAAATACTTCAGTGCAGTGATGTCAGAACAGAAACTTCTAGAAACTATCAATCATCATTTTATGTGAATAATAAGAGGCGACAAGCATCACAACTGTAATTTGACAAAAGTAGGCAAAACAAAGGTCAAAAAAGATGTTGGATTTTACTGGTTTAGCTTCTTATGAGATACCTGTCCTGAGCCCAATGAAAAATATTTTTAATTRCCATAATACATAGTTCCATAGAAAAGTGCTGTGCTCATACCTTGTCATATGAGATRGTGTCAAACAGGGCATTGATTTCACTAGGGTTATGCACAGGGACACTGATAGGATGTGAGTTGCTCATCTGGTCCAGATTCATAGCTAGCTGAGCTTTGTCAAGGAGGAATTGRTCCATCATCTTCCACTGTGGATTGTCATGACTWGCTCCAATGTTCTCCACAAAGCTTGCAAAGCCTTCATTCAACCACAGGTCATTCCACCATTTCATGGTGACAAGATTTCCAAACCACTGATAAAATTGAAAAAAATAGGTACAATGTTATACTGTACTGTTTGGATCACTTCAGAAAATGGAATCACAAAGTTCTCATTTGATTGATATTCGCTGTCCAATATTTTGAAAGGAATTAGTAGAGTAAATGCACTTGAAATAAAATATGAAATAAAATCATAGTTTCTTACTATAAGTCTACAGCTAACAAACTGTCTAATAGTCGTTATCACTGGAACCAGAACAGTTTATATAACATGATGAGCAATACACAAGAGACCATTTGAATCTTAAAACTATTCTACAATAAACCAAAATATGATAAGAGAAATAAAATGTCTGTTTTTCATAACAGTTCAAATATATAATCATGTTTATTCAGAATTTCTTTTTTTAAGTACTAAYATCATTTAAATAATATGTAGTTTTTTGATAAGAGTTTCCCACAGAAACAGTTCTTGGTCAGTGRTAATGACTGTTATATTAGAAACTATGTTTTCATTGATTTTATTTCATGGTATTAAATACAATGCATTATGCATTTATAAATTTAAATCATATATTTTACATGTAATATTTAATATTTAATATGCAATATTTTTAACTTTTYAAGTTTTAAAGAGTTTCAGGTAAAGTTTAATTTAGATTTATGTTTATGATCATGATTTTGAATTTTATTGACACACAGTCAAATTTTCAATATCAAATTAAAATTTCACTCTATTATACACACTTCAATATGGTAAAAATATTAATTTGCTATCATTCTGGTCACCATATTGTTTCATTTAAAACAAACCCACAGTTGGTTTGATATGCTAATATATGATAAAAATAAATGTCAATAAGAATTGCACACAGGTAAATGTGTTTCCATGACTTTAAAATTTAAGCAAGAAAAATTTGTTCATCATATCATTCTATAAAATACCTATATTTTTCCACTGCGTGAAGTTTAAAAGAACACATTTGTAGTATCTCTATATATTGAAATGTAAATAAAAGTTTCTTCAAAACATCATTGCTTCATTGATAATTATATATTGAGAAACAGAATATTACTTGGCAGCTTGGAGATACAAATTTTATCCTCTCATACTGAAATTCGCTACACTCACTCATGAGAGACCTTTACAACATTCAAAGATCAAATCCATATCTCTGTGTACCCATGTAATATCCTCTATATAGCAGCTATATTCAGGGAGTGCTAGATCCCAACTTTGGTGGAGGTGTCCTGCACGACCCTCAAAACCCTTACCCAATCCCAGACCAATTTTGTGATCATTTTACATACCCTACCATAGACTGAATAGACAGCATGGGCTAGCAGATATGATCACAAGCAAAACTCCACCCTACCCCAGAAAATGAGACTATACCCTATCCTACAAAAAACTTCCCTATCCCAGACAAAAAGACTACCCTATCCCAGACAAATGGACAAAAATGATACTCTATTCAAGACTAATGGAGCTCCGAAAAAGGGACCCTATCAAGCAGCACATACCCGTATAGCAGATATAGGGGAGTACCCTCCCTCCCTCCCCTGGGTGCAGCTMGCACTAGTTTACTTCTAGTTTCCACCATTTTGACTATGTGGTTCGACAGTATTCAATACTCAAATTTTGTTGAAGTAGCTGTACACATTGAATTTCCTATCCACTTTTGGGAAGATCAAGCTAGCTTTTTCGTCATCAAAACACACCACATTGACTTGAAGAAATTACTGTTTTTCAAAAAAACACACTCACTAGATGAATTGAAATAATTTGGCCTTTGGCTTAGATACAATAGTCAAAATTCAACCTACATGTACCCATTCATACCATTCAGCCTGCTGACAAAACCTTCAAMATGTTTGCCATAGGTCATAAGTTAGCGACCCAGGCAATATATCTTTACAATTAGATATATTGATTTTTAAATCTCTCTAGAATTTACAGTCCCAGYAGCAAAGGCTATAATTTTCACATTGAATAAATATATTTTAATTTTCACAATATAATTAATATTACTTTACAAACTAAAAGAAAGGAAGTACAAAGACACCGCACACAGCAGAAACAATCACAAAAAAGCCATGCAACACAGACCAACCTGATGAGCAAGCTCATGAGCCACCACAACAGATACCCATTGTTTGTTAGAGTCTGAGGAAGTCAGAGGGTCATACAACATAGACGTCAAGCGGTAAGTTATCAGTCCCCAGTTCTCCATAGCGCCAGTAGGGAAGTCGGGAATTGCAATTAAATCTAATCGAYGACAACATTTAATGTTAGAAGTTTGATTTGTCAATTCCAAGATTAAATCCAACAATATGACAAATGAGGAAATAGCGACTGTACAAAGTACGATGTATGTATGAGGACACTTACACGGAAAACATCACTCTTTATTTTAAGTTAATTTTTTTTTCCTTGCAWGAGATAACTGAACATGAAGACATACATGTAAGAAAGTTCAAGGAATGGCATATTGCAGTGTTGGTTTTTTGGAAACTTTCAATCCAGTAGCTCATCTCTAATCACAATATGGTGTATATTATTTCAAACATTAAAATCATCATCTTATTGCAACAATCTACAGACAAATTCTACTTCAATCAGGAATATACATTTTACATGACTTGTATCATCACTCAACCAGTTTGCACAAGAATCAAAACCAAAGTCACTAAGCAAACACAGCCAGCTTAAAAGTGATATGTGGAATACAACACAACAATAGATTATTAGTGACACCATAAAACCTTAGCAATCAAAAGCACGGAATTGTACATCGTTTTAATTTTTAGCAATAATTATCAAATTCATTAATAATTCATAAGGTAAASACAATGGAAAATCATTGCCGTGACCACATCTTTATATGAGCAAGAGATTTGTCCTGATTTGCATACGACTTTAACTTTGATTTTTCTCTTACAAATGATATTTTATCCTGAAGTTTTTTTCAAAATATGCTTTACCTTATGTTGGAATTTGATAAGCAAAATAAAATATTCGCGTCCGACCTTTATGGGCTATAAAACTGCTCGCTTGCAGCTCCCAGTTTTGAATGCCCATAAAGGTCTCCCGCTCATTTATATATTACATAAAGTAATTATTATACTTGACCCATAAAATAGTTAGTACATGTAGCAGATTAACTATTATAATAGTTTGTATTATAATTGTTTTGGACAATTGTCTGCAGGAGATTTCATGTTCTAATCTTGAGACCAGTAATTAGGTTACAGCTATTCTAAACACTACTGGCTTATCTGGAAGAGTCTACAGGCCYTGAATTAAARKTTKSMAATGTCCAGAAACATGATGAATAGACCACAACGACATGGATTAAAGAACCTTTGCAGCATTTTCTTGCATGCAAAAAATTGCCATCTTTGATGATYGAAACAAATAACTGATTAGAAACAATAATTATGAGAAAGMAAATTCCAACAACAGATCAYTTTTTCAACTAGTAAAYAAACAATTTCAAAGACCCTTAGAGCTGATGCAAGTGAGTCTTTAATCCTGTGTCAGATGGGASCAGTTAAAATGCTGACTCTGGCACCCTGTAATGAAAGGTCAGTTCATGGCAACATTTTCCCCTACAGTGCAAACTACATTTAACTTGAATAAAATTATTTGAATTAGAATTATTTAAGACACAAATTCATCCAAGAAGCTATAAAATGATCTCCAATTATTTATATTTTGTGATTAGTTAAAAATGATGAGACATGTTTTCACATGACTGTGAGGCTAAAATCATGCAAAGGTTCAAGGACATGGTGGTCCTTTAGAAAAATATTTACTCAACATATACCAATTTTCAATCATTCATGAGCTTTTAGACCAACTGGGGTAAACCACTTTGGCCACATGGATGCCACGGGAGATATTAATTACTTGTAATCTTGAGAAAATGAGATATAATCCAGATATTATGTGTTCATACAGGAAGGTTGGCAGTCCTTCCTCCTGCTCTTTTTTGTATGTTTTTTAATTTCAATGGAAATTTGAAATGTTTAATATATACATATCATTTTTTTTATTCATTATTTTTCAAGTGTTACTTTCCTAATTTATAATTGTATTTTATTTATTTTTTTATTTTTTGGTTTTCTATTATTGATTGAARTAAACAGGGCTAGCTTGGAAGCTAAGAAGATTTTTAGCAGAGTCCATGCATTAACATTGTATAGTGTAATTAAAAGCTATTATTATTCAAAATTGTTTAATATTAAGATTTAGCATGATTTTCATGATTTAGTTTTATTCATAATCAGCAGTGTTCCAACAAAATTTATTGAGATTTATGAAATCATGATTTGTTTATGAATTGACAATTTATGCATTTTTTGGATCATTTAGAATATTATAGATTAACTTTTAATATTACGCCTTTTAAAGTTTATTGTTGTTATAATGACGTATTGATTTTTTTTAACCAATTGATGGTTTGTTTTATTCTGAATTCTATGGAGATGCATGAAATAATGATCATCATATCTGCAACTAAAAGTACAAGAGAATTCTTTGCCAAGACTATCATGTAATATGGTTTAAATGTTAACATGTCCAAAATATTTGACTAATCTCAAACAAGAGGAAGAATTAAAAAAAAGTTGAATGAATCTGAAAAAGATAAAAGATTAAATGGTGTTCTCTCTGGTAGTTGCAGTACAATGACATCATTGCGTCATAAAATAAGGCCTATATCACAGGCCTGAACTTTATTATTGGTCATGCAAAAACTATTCTAGACAATGAGTAGTCTTTGCAGCTGCATAGAGCCATTGCGAGCATGGCTACAAACCTGATGTGCAAGTTCATGTGCAACCACTGTCGCCACCCACTGCTTATTACTGTCAGATGATTCATTCTTGTCAAATAACAATGAAGTGGAGCGATATGTGATCAAACCCCAATTTTCCATAGCACCGGCAGCAAAATCAGGAATCGCAATCAAATCTATACAGTCATGTATATATGCATATTATGGTATAACATGGATGAATACTTGAATTATGTCTACTATTTGAAGATGYGATGGTCTACAAACAGCACCATTTTCCTACATACTGCGTCATACATGTATAGATCATATATAGTAGAAAGCTTCTAACAGTAACAGCTGCACAAGAAGACCTCATTTGTTTGTGACCAATAGCAGAGGTCACTTCCACAACTTATGWATAAAACCTCAACCAAACAATTTCCTGATTCAAAATGTAAACAGCAGCCCATGGTATCAAGCTCTTGGCTACAGTTATAATTAACTAACCGAGTTGTACAAACTGCGATGACAAAATGAAGTGAGAATGATGTGCACTTAAACATGCAGCTCACAAAAAGAAACATTGATGATGGATATACACTCACCACAATAAGCATCAATYACTTTTGAACATCAATTATTTGGCAGCATTTCAGTCCTAATCTTACCTTGCTTTGGCAATGGAAATTTGACTTTAAAAAATTCTTCATAATAGGCAAGAATGTTCTTGGCCTCTTCTAAAGCAAAGTCAGCCTCGTYAATGTTGTCAGGAGGAGCCCAAACACGAACCTGCATTGAATGAAAGAAGATGAAGATGTGGAATTTCCAAGGCACTGTGGTACAACACAAGTTGAAATATACTGTAACTACAATCCAGTGTGTAAAAAGATAAATTTAACACAGCTGTAAAAAAGTTGTTTCAACCACTTTTTTTACGGTGTTACATGTGTACAATAAGGTTATAATCTATCTTTTTACACAACCTGTGGGRCACATCTCACACTAGTTTACCATTTTAAGTGCAATCCAGATTATTACATGGAGCATCGGCACACATTAGTCAGTGAGTTATCATTTTAAGAATTTGTATATTTGGGGTAGCTATAGACATCCCCCAATTTAATGTTTTAGGTTGGGGAAGGAGGAAGATGACAGGAGGGGCATTGTGCACTTAAAAACATCAAAACKTTGATGGTGTCCCAAAATCCAGTATTAAGTAACCAGTAAGAAACCATAGTCTATCAACACTTACATAATAAAATAAATATGTGATTTTAATTGTACAGTGCATACCAATGTATTTGAAGTTGTTCTGGCTGATTTACTCTTGAAGTCACAAACCACAAATGCTACTAGATAGGTGCTCATCAAAACACTCTCTTCAAAAATGTCTTTCTCAAACTCTCTCCCCTGATTAAAAATATAGGACATGTAATGAGGGTTAGAAAATGACTATTCACAATTAATACGCTCTCTCTGTCAGGATCTGTTAGGAGGCTAAACATTTGGCAGTTGTCAGTCAATAGTCTCCTTCAACTTCCCTGCGCCATCTTGAAAGTTAGTTGTGCCTTCACATCAAAGCAAGCCAAACGTTGAGCGTGCAATGATAGATACCTGAGATTATTTGTTTGTAGGTATGAAAGAAGGTTTCTATCACGCTCAACAGTTGGCTCACTTCAATACAAAGGTATGACTACCTTTCAAGATGGCACAGGGAACTTTGAAGACAATTATCTTATATGGAGAACATCCATGACCTCTAAAATAATCCAAAAAATGTACTTACATCATCCACTACATTTATGGTCTCCTTCAAAGGCATATTTGACAAAGCTGTGTATTGTCTCTCTCTTATGATGATAATTTCAAATTTTGCTTTTAATGCTGGTTCATCCATGCAAGGGAAAGCAGCCCTGGCATCTGTAGGCTCAAAATGTGTTGTTGCTATGTGCCTAAATATTAGAAAAAAAATAACTAAAGCTAYTTGTTTATTTTAGTTCTTCATCAAAATAAACTTTAAAGTGCAACTGAACTCAAATTTCAAATTCTAAGATAATCTATAATCCTAAGTGTGTACTCAAAATAGTAACTTGCCGCACAAAGATTTTGAACTGGATGATTTCCCAATATTTATATCATATTTTTTAATATCCTGCCAGTTYGGAAAAAAGCACTCTATTTGAAATCAGGGGCTTGGTGCCAATGTGACGTCTACTAAGGAATTGTCTCTCATATTTCTGGAGCCTTTCAAAGTAAATGGTGTACAGCAGCTGTAGATTCTAAGGTATTCATTCCTGTTATGATGCCTTTGAATCATAAGCCAACTTTCAACAATTACTAGTTGAAATATCAACCAATGTGAGAACTTTGGTTCCTTAGTAGACGTCATACTACGGCTTGACTAATGCCAATGTYGACTATGATAGTTTGCCATTTCCGAATTATCAAAAATTTCATAACTTTAACGTTTCATAAAAAAACGAGCTTTTAACCAATGAAGGCACAAAAAAAACATTTTAACAATTGCTCATTTAAAAATGTACTTGATCATTCAAAAATGTACTTTTCAGATAAAGTCACCTTTGCGGTATACATCCCGCTTCTCAACCAATCAGAGTCGTTAAAAAAACATAGGTATTTCGAGCTACGGGATGATAACGCGAATAAACCAATCAGAACACAGATTAGTAATTTGATCTCAGCCGGTACGGGATAGTAACGCGTATTAGCCAATTACCATCTTAAAAACAGCTAGAAGTGATGACAGATCAAGAACACTTTTAGACTGTTCTGACTCTTGTTTTTACTTTTCAGAAACAGCGCGCTACGAAATCATTGCAATTTCCAACAACGCCTACTTCAAAACTGCGTGACATCACTTTGCGGGTAGTCAAAGAGAGGTATGGATTTTGTTTTAATACTCAGTTGTTTGTCTGTTTTTATTGTGAAATGGCTGAATTGAAAAGAAACCTAAGCTTATATCTGTCTACAGTAAGTTAAAGGTTTTTTAGTCTTATTTCTTTCCCGGTCKCATCGTCTTCACGCGGCTAAACTTATCTCATTTACTTTTTATTTTTCCATGCTGATTTTCCTCATCTTTGGGAAAAAATGAGTTCACTTGCACTTTAATTAATAAATTATAAACTATATTCTTCAGAAAAAGTAACTGTACATTGCAATACAATTTTAAGAGATCATAGGTAAATTTATTATACAATGTGATTCAAACTATGCTATGGTCATTCACTTTTCATCAACCTTTGTATTTATCGATTTCTTAATGCATCTATGAAAAAGTTGAGTGAAAATGAAGACAGAGAAACTGGTTGCTGGTATGTCAATTTATATTGACACCCAATTCATTTTCTAAAGCATTCTGTGTATACATACACCTAATGAAAAAAATGGTGTCAAGTTGACATTATCAAKTAGTGTGACTGCAAAGGAGCATGGGAAAGCAAATAGGTAAATATCATATATAATATATAATAATAATTGAAAATATAATTGAAATATAATAATAATTGAAACACATGAGCATGCTGTATAATAAAATTAATTTCTATGTCMTTTTCTCTAAGGAGGTCTCAATGTCAGTTGTAGGTTAAATGTTTGTCATTTAGTCAGTTGATAGTTAAATTGGCAGAAATTCCGAGTTGACCRATACCATTGACGATCAATTTATTTTGGGGAATTCTTTTCAAAAACCCTCAACATTTTCATGATTTCAATRCTGTCCAAACTTTAGACTTCAGGGGAGTTARCAGCCCTGTGTCGCAAAGATATAGGATTTGAAAGAATGAGTGACTGACATGAAAGTCAAGAACTCATAAGGAAACTGAAAAGTACAGTTAAATTCTTCAAAATACTCAAGTTGACTAGCATTTCTTTTATTACAATTAAGCTCCAATAAAAAATAGCCATTTGGAAATACAAATAAAATATATTCTAATTTTCTTGAGTTTTTAAAAGATATGTCTTCAATTATACAAATTATATGCCTGTTCTTCAGAGTTTAGTGTAGTAAAAAATGCCAGATTTATCAAGAAATGGTTTTCAATGGACATTGTCAAATATTTGGAAGGATATGAGGCGAAGGATGTATGGTGGTTACTAGACATTTTAATCCCCTTATAAATTTCTGGTGAAAATGGGATTTGAAAAATGGGAAAAAATCCAGTATTTGAATTCTCTATATTTGACTCATGGTTTGAGAGACAAGTTTTTAACAAAAACGAATATGTGTCCACAATTACTTTTTTTCAGTAATTGCTTTGGAAAGGAGGTTTTTAGTCAAGGATCTGTAATATATATCAAAAGGGATGATGTAATATCAGTGTGGCTTTGGCTTTGTTTTGTTATTAAATATAAAATTTCACACACATCATTCAAAACTGTGATGATCAAATGATTTTCATATTTATCCCATTTATGACGAAAAAATGGATAAAAGTGGAATGATTTAGATAATAAAATCCCTTTGGYGTAGATCATAGGATATTTTTATCGGGGATTTTCGCGCTCAATTAAAWTTTTTTTTAATAACTGCTGGAATACCCTTCATTTGAATTTTTGAAAGGCAAATGGCCTGTTTGAGCAATGTCTGCTATTTACATAAATTCATTTAGATTCTTTATCCGCTTATGAAAATATTTTGAAAATATTTCTTTCAAAATCAGGTTGCTTAATTCTTTCTCTGCTGAAAAATAAAGACTAACAAAAATATCACAGAATAAATTAAAATAAGAACTCAATTTTTGCGCGAAATCAAGTCTATACGACGCGGATAGAGATTTAACGGTCCGTATCGAAATATCCTCCTATCACGAGCGGACAAGTAACCGAAAACAGAGTCAAAATGACTAGAAATTCTAGACAAAAATAAAGCTATTTATACTAAATCGCCTCAAACCATAAACTCTGCRACGCATTTTGTCGAATGTGCCCGATTTAAAACGATCTTTTCTTGGTCAATTCATGTTGTGAAATTTAAGCTTAGTGTCTTCTCGAAGGCGGAAAATACGAAAGAATCGAGTCAATTTACAGAATACAAAGCTAAAATTGTGATATCTCGAGCCTAAATGTAAACATAGGATCGCATYATTTGGCAAATAGATTATTTTCTGAGAGGAGACCTGAAKATTTTAGGTTCAAACGCGGTACGCACCTGACACTGTGATCAATGATCACAACACAAATGATTGAAATTAAATTTGCCATACAAAATATCCCTAAAATTGTCAATTTTCACGTGCGTGAGCGACAAAAAAGTAGCATAACAAACTTGAATCAAAACAGGTTTAAATAATGCAGAAAACAAATGCTTTTCAAGTCATAATTATAATTATTCCGAACATAAAAACATCGAAGATTTATCGCGATAAATCGGCTTGCAAATACCTTGTCTCTCCGTTTTTGGTCTTGTAAGAGCTTTTATAAAAGCCAAACAGTTGGTCYGCCAGTGAAGAGTTAAACTCTACATATAGGACGTATTGCTTGCCGGGTTCTAGTTCTTGGGAAACCTTGACTGAGATCATCTCAAGTTCAGTGCTTTCGGTTATCTCGCCGAGTTCCAAAGTTTTCGGTATCTCATGATGACCAAGCTCGTATAACGAATAATTCTTCAAATGCATGTGTTTGGCATGAAAAAATATATAATCAGTCTTTTCTTCACACTTTAAAAGCATGTCGACATGTCCTTTGAATTTGAAAGTAGTCAAATCAGTTTGAATTTCGACTCTGTATTTCTCAGGGATCACTTTATTAGGGAGACGAATTTCTTGCCACGGAAATTCCTTCCCTGTTTTGTCCTTGTATATTTTTTTATTGTCCTCTGGTGGGATATCAGGTCCTGGTTCTTTACTTGAACGTTTTTCAGGGACATTTTCCTCAAATTCTTCCGACGAAGAAGGTTTCACAAAAATTGAGATGAAGACGACAGATACCAAGAGTACAGCTGTTACTGTGGTATAAACGACAGTCTTGGAGCACATTCTCCCGTTAAAATCAAAACTACGGTCCGTAAATAAGTGTATTCTTCTTCTCCTTAATCTGCTGGGCTTCCTCTCGATGTCAGGCAGTAAGGAGATGTTGTCAATGTCGTCGTCAAAAGAGGAATCCGAACTGAAATCGTCGCCCGACTTGCATCCCTCTTCCATCAGAACATGAATAAACAACAGTGCTAATTACCGATGCAGATGCCTCCGGAGTMATTACGTAGAATGACGTGAAACAAGATCAGTAAACCGTGAAAATCGATCTAGGAAACATTTAACGATTTTTAGTCTATTTGGTGTAACATCCTTCTCGCCTTTCGCAAAGGAAATGGAAAATCAACTTTTATTTTGAAAACTGGTACAAAATATGATTGAGTGATTGATTGAAATGACTGCCGCAAAGGCGACTGCAAAGGTCGAGCTAGCGCTTGAGGAGCGTTACAACTTTTTAAAAAAACCCATACACTTCAAATATATTCTATTATAATTTCCAAAATATATAGAAAATCGACTGTCTAGCTTCTTTTTTCATAACGCGACGTTTCAGCAATTTCTGYATGATATGAATCCCACCCACTTTTTCCATCCCATCATTTATTTTCACAGCGTCCACCGGCGTCCGGTCCCAAACACCTGTCTACTCTTAGCTGTTCTTTTCGAAATTAATGCTGTCTTCCCCCGCAAGCACAATCTCCTCAATTATTTTAACATATTTCCGTAATCTGCGCTCATTACACATAATTTTTACAACGCTCTTCGACCCTTTTTCTTTCATTTCTTTCAMTTCATTTGTCCGGGATACATCAAAGACTTCAGGAAACTACCAACGGCAACGTCTTAATTAATGGACAAAATACTATCCGTCAAAGCCTACTAAAGTCTTTCTTTTCGTCTTAACAATTTGATATGCTTTTCTATTTTTCTCTGGCCGACATAAAACTGTCACCGTTTTTAAAACATCCGGCAGCTTCCACTCTTTGGTCGAAAGGCTCTTATTCGATTTCAAGTGTACGAGAGCTGATGATCTTTAATATATATATCATCTCGAGCTCGCAAAGATCTGTCAAAAATGATATAGTCTGAATCACAATTGTAATAGTTAGTTTAAATTTGGAGATTGATCACCCTGTCGCTAACGATACTCTTGAGCGAATGAAGAAAATATTTAACCTGAGGGGAAATGGAAAAAATATACAAAATTTWGAATTTAATTATGAAATGCAAAAGAGATCATTAACGAACAAATCTTAATGGGAAAATTCGCTTGATAATCCATGATACTGTAATAATTATAATAATAATCGTTCATTAAAGTGAGATCGAGTCCATAACAAAGGCGAAKTACTCCATSGAATRCCMGAGGCCAGCACTAAATACTAAGGGGGGTCCTGAAGGGATAAAATGTGGCGGGAATTATTCTTGTTTTTGACTGTGAAAATGGAACTGAATACACTGGGAATGGGATTTTCAAATACAAGAACARTAGAAACTGGGACTGGAAATTGAAAACTTGAGCAAGACTAATGGTACATTTTTGAGTGGGATTTGAATGGGAAAATGGGATATATAGAGAAATATCGATGGCCGCAACGGAAATTAGCTTCTTGATACCATTTCGCTCTTTTGCAGGAAAATTAAATCAGGAAAATAGCCGGGGAGGGCCCGGAGTGAAAAAATTCAAAGCCCCACGTAACTCTCACGCACACGTGGTACCGACAAGCGTGTAACACTCAGGGAAAAACATGCACTAAAAAGATAAAATAATTAATTGACATAACTTGTGCAAACATTACTCAAGATGCTTTATTTTACCTAATGTAGAAGTAAAGCCGAGATGAGTGCCTATAATGGAATGAAATAAAACACCAGCATGACCAGGGGATGTTGAAGTAAAGATCAAGAAAGGACTTTTACAAATACTCCCTGTCTGGAAT